GGTAGGTAACGGACGGACGGTACGGTACGTACGTACGTTACGTTTACGTAACGTACGGTTCGTTGTTACGTTACTACTACTATTAGAGAGAGAGAGAGAGAGAGGTAGAGAGAGAGGATTCCGTTAAGATCTTGAACTCTTTAGCCACTTCAGAGTTTAGTGAACCATGGATTCTCTTACTGAGTTGATGAACTTCCTGTCATGAAATTATGCCTGCAAATCTCATCTGCTTAATCTTATCTCTCCTTTTTCTCCTCTGTACATCTCCTACTGGTTTTCCCTCATCCCTGCTCTGCCTACAAGACCACCCACCTAAAGAAGAAGCTTCTTCCTCTTCCTTCCCTGAGCTGAACTTAGAGCTCAAGTGCAATTTTTTCATGAAAAAGCTTCTCCATTGCTGTTTCCACATGTTCCATTCTTTCCTTGAGCAACAGTTGAGGCGTATGCGGGTTCTTACCGTTCGGTTCAAGCTTTTTGAGGCTTAATTCCCCCCTTTTCCTCTCTCTCTAGAATTTACTTGGTGATGAATTCCTCCTGGTCATTTGGTATTGCTTGAACATCTCTCTCTCTGAAACCTTTGTTTGGTATTGGATTTGATCTTAGTGCTTGAACCTCTCTCTCTCTAACCTTTGGTTAGTAGGGATTTCCTGGTCATATGGGCTGGCTTGAAGCCCTCTCCTTTACTCTCTGACCTTTGTTTAGTAATGGATTCCTGGTCATGTCGCGGTTTCCCAACCGCTCTCTAGAAGTTATATACAGTGGGGACTTCGTGATCATGGTGGGTTTGCCTGAAGCGTCTATGTCTCTCTGTAACATTTGTTTGTTAATGGGTTCCTGGTCATGTTGCGTTTTCGAACCTCTGTCATTTTCTCTTTAAAGCCTTTGTACAGTTGGGATTTCCTGGTCATGGTGGGACTGCGCGGGCTTCTCTTTCTCTCTTCACCTTTGTTTAGTGATGGCTTCCTGGTCATGTGGGGGTGCTTGTTTCCTTGTTTCTCTCTCTAGAACTATGTTTGGTTGGGGGTCCCCGGTCATGGGGAGTTGCTTGAATCTCCCTTTCTCTCACTAAAACCTTTGTATGGTTCTGGATTTCTAGTCATGAGGGGTAGCTTTAGTAAACTGTTGCCATTCCAGTCAGTTAGATGGATGCCTTGCCATGAGTTTCTATGCCCTCAGACACGGGTCATTTTGAGGTTGAAGGGGAAATCTAATGGAGTACGAGGCGTTTTTAAGAAGAAATGGAGCATGTTGCAGAGATGGCTCAGTCTCGATGCTTTGTTTGGAGCGATCTTTTTATTCCTTCTTTCTCGTTCACTGCTTGTCGAGATGAGATTCATTCCATCGTCATCCATGTATCCAACTCTGCAAGTTGAGGACCGAGTTGTTATTGAAAAGGTATGTCATTTGAATTTCTTAGCTGCTTTATCTTGTTCCTATTAATTGAAACCTCACATTGTATCTAACTTATAGTTTCTTAGCATGCTCTAAACAGGCATCTGACTGATAATTTAGAAAAACAAAGGGGAAAAATGAGTTTGATGTCTCTGCCTACTGTTGGAAGATGTCACACACACACACACACACTCTGCTATGCAAAGTACTTACATGGTCATGTCCATGGCATGGTATTCCCAAAGGAGCCACCTCTATTGTTTTTCCCAGAGGATTATGAGCCATTAAAAACCAGGAAAGGGTGATTCTTGGGATTCCTCTTTTTTCTTTTTGTTGTGGTGGGTTGCAGGGTTGTGTTGGGGTGGTTTGGTTGATAAGGGGGTCTCAAATAGAGCCTTAATCGAAGGAATGCGGGATCTCCTTAGTTGATGAAGACATCGTCAATAGCGGGAGAAGCCAGATGGTTTCTTACATGTAACTCAAGACGATTGCCATCAAGTGTTGGTTTGATTCATAGCTTTAAATGTGATAATGGAGGTGAGTACATTATTGTATTAAAGATTATTGTGGTGTTAGGAGGAATGAGGCTCTATAGCATGAGTACAATTTTGGTTTGATGCAAAGGGAGGGTGGCAGTGCAGTGCTTGGAGAACCCTCTGGTCCTTGAGTAATTGGAAGATGGTGAGATTCTTGCCAGTGATCAACCTGATCTTAGCACAATTCTAGGGGATGGGGAACATGGACCATTAAATGAGAACTAGATTGCAATAAGTTGAAGAGACTTGAGAAAGGGATTTGTAAGTGTGTACAAGCTACTGAGGGTTGGAAGCCTTACAGCCAATTTGCAGAATTTGGTTGTGTAGGGTTTTTCTTGGGTAACAGAAGAGTTAAAGTTTGTATTTTGATAAGCAACAAACATATGAATCTCCATTTAACAAAGATTAATGAGCTTAGGAATAGGTAGCACCATTGTTCCTGGACTCGGTCGAGTCAACTCGGCACAAGGCGGGTTTTGGCTGAGTACCGTGCACACTTTGAATATCATGTTTATATATTTAAGCCGCCATTTCTAAGGCAAGAAAATGCTTAGTGGCATACTGGTTAGTATACATGCTAGAGGCCCATTTCAGTAGGGTTTTGACACCCCACAATGACCCATATTTATTTTTAACCCACAAAGATTAGTAATTTCGTTGCCCATAATTATTATTTTTAACCCATGAAGACTTAGTAATTTTCTTTTTCTTTTTAATGAGTTAAAAAACATGAGATGAAACATAGGTCATCACAATGATTGAATACATGACCTCTTGCAAAGTGGCATCTAAAAAGCCTCATGCTACACCAACATGCCATTAAATATTGATTGTAAGAGGGCCACACTTAATATATATATATATATATATATATAATAGGTCTTCCGATCTAGCATCTAATAAGGAAGTACTTCCTACAAAATGTAAGGTTATTGTATAGATGAGTGTATTAACTGCATCGCTTTCACTATGAGGTATTTCTTGATTGTATTCATTTTTTACAGTCCATTGTCTTGTAGTGTTTAATATTTGTTGTTTAGTGGTTTAACTCATGTGAAAATCCCACCATCCTGTAAACCCACAGACAATAGCTTTGGCTACTTCTTGGTCATGATTACTAGCTACTTTACAAGCCGTGGCTATCAAGTATTTGATGGTTAGACATACCATCGATATTCCAATTTACAATCGTTCTACCCGAGTAGGATACAGTACTTGAAATTAAATCCTCTTCTACTGGGGTCGGCCTAGTATGGTACATCCTTGATTGGGCAGTAGCCCTCCATTTCCTTCCGTAATCTATCCTATTAATATTTGAATTAGCTTCTGTGAATGCTTCCTCTATTTTGAATATCTCATCATTATTTAATGAGTCTTCTTGAAGTACCATAGCTTCTGATTCCTTTTCCTTTTTTATCTTTTATGCTTAACTGGGATAGTTTCTTTACTAGTTCATCAACCAATTCTTTATTTTCTTCCTTTTTCTTTATCCCTTTTAAGCTAAATCTTTCTTCATTTATCTCTGAAGGGGGGTTGAATAATACTGCCTTCTTTTTATCTTGTTTTTTACTAACTTCACCTTGAGGTTTTCCTATTATATTTTCAATCTTAGTAGTTTGTTTACCGATAGACTGTAGACAAAGGTTCGTATAATTGTTTTGCTCTATTATGTGTGGGATCATTTCTATTTTATGGCTATGCTCATTAGGAGCCAACTTATAGGGAGAAGCTTTTGTTTCTGGTTTGTCTTTTAACATTCTTTTTATTTGAAGGCTTCTTTCCGGAGGATGTATACTTTGTATTTCCTCTCCTTCTATTGTATAGAAGGTTTGATATTGATTTTCTAATGTATTCAATTCAAAATTGGGAATAGGAATATGTTTTTCTTCAAGGGTTGATGTTAACCAGTTAAAGAATCCTATATTTTGTTTATTCCTTTTTATAAATTTATTGTATCTTTTATGAAAGGCGTCTAACAATTCTTTTGAGAATGCTGCTAGATACCATTCTCTTATCCCTTTATTAGTTTCATAAAGATAATCATTTTTTAATAATTCTAGGTCTACGTTGAACTTTTCTTCTTTCTGGAGAGTCAGGATATTAAAGTCAAGGTCAGAGAATGTTGGTTCACTCCCTGATGGACTAGGATCATAAGCCTTGTATACGGGTATATTAATGTTACTATTTGTTCTTGTTAACCCTTATTAAGGCTTATCCTGTATTGATGAAGTAGAATGTTTGGAAGGTGCAGACATTCTTTTTGGAGGTCTTATTATATCTTCAAAAAAATTCAATCTTGCTCTTCGGCTAGAATTGAATTGGATTTCAATATTTCCATCTGGATATTCAATTATTTGATCCGGCTCATTATTATTGGGGGTTCTATACTATTGGTTCTCATTATGAATGGACCAATTTTCTGGGAGTATTACTTGAGACCAACTTATTGATTTAGGGATGGCAGTGTTTGATTTTTCTCTATTTGTTTGAAAAAATACTGTCTGTCCCCTGGTCAAAAGAAGATAAGAGACAAGTTTACTAAAAAGTTTGTCCAAAAATCCAATCTCAAAAGAGGAAAGAGAAAAATTCCAGTATGTTATAATTGTGGAAAAGTAGGACACTACAAAAACATATGTAAGATTAAAAAGAAAATCAATGCCCTACAGATTAAAAAGGAGATTAGAAATCAAATATATGATATATTGAAAATAGAAACTGATAGTGACACATCAAGTTCTGATTCTGAGTCTCTAGATGGAGAAATACATGATGAAAATTTAATACTAAGTAGTTCAGATTCTGATGAGCAGATGGAAGATTGTTTCTGCAAAAATCTTAATACCCTCACAAATGAAGAAAATTTAATCCTAGATTTAATAGATAAGATAAGTGACCCAGAAGTCAAAAGGGAAGCCTTAACCCAATACATCCAAGTAGCTAAATCAAAAAGGAAACCAGTCCCTCTTGTTAAAACACAAGAAAATTATAGTCTAGCTGAAGTACTAAAAAGAAGTAATAAAAATTTACTTCTCTAAAAGAACCATCCATTTCTGAACTAAAACAAGAATAAATGAAGTAAAAACTGAAGTACAGAGTCTTCAGAATAGAATAAAAATATTAGAAATGGCTGTTGAATTTTCTGATAACGATACAAATGAAGAATTAGAATTTGATAGTCTTATAAATAATCATAAAAAACCATCAGAAAAAACTCCGGAATCATCCAACTCAAAACAAGAAGATAATTCTATGCAAAACAAAAATTTTGTAAACCTATTGGATAAAGTCATCACTCAAAAATGGCTAACCTTAATAAGAATAATAGTAAATAAAGAATATAGCTTTAGTCCCTTACATTAATAGATTTAGGAGCAGATCTTAATTGTATAAATGAGGGATTAGTACCTACTAAATACTTTAGTAAAACAACCCAGATACTCAATATAGCAGATGGTAGTAGGTTAATGATCAAATATAAACTTTCCAATGCTGCAATATGTAATAATGGTAATTGTTTTGAAATGTTATTTATTATGGTGAGAGGATTAAGTCAAGCTGTTATACTTGAAACGCCTTTTCTAAATTTACTATATCCTTTCAAAATAGATAGCACATGAATTGAATCAAACCTAGAAGGTCATAGTGTAAAATTTGATTTTATAGACAAGCCCAAAATCAGAGAAGTTAATAACATCAAGCAAGTCAGAGAAAATAAAGAAAGATTTTTATGTCATCTAAAAGAAGAGGTAAAATACAGAACAATAAATGAAAAACTTTCATTTTCAGAAAATAAGAAGATTATTGAAAATATTAGAAGAAAAATAGAAGAAGAGATTTGTGCTGATCTACCGAACGCCTTCTTGAATAGGAAAAAGCATATAGTAAGTTTACCCTATGAGGAAGGCTTTAATGAAAACAAAATACCGTCTAAAGCTAGGCTTATTCAAATGAATCCAAGGCTTCTCGAGATATGTAAAAAGGAAATTGATGAATTACTCCAGAAAAGGTTAATCAGGAAAAGCTCATCCCCGTGGAGTTGTTCAGCTTTTTATGTCGAAAAAGCTTCAGAAAAGGAACGAGGAACACCAAGACTGGTAATAAACTACAAGCCATTAAATCAGGTACTCAAATGGATTAGATATCCGATACCTAATAAAAAAGATTTACTTGATAGACTTGTAAACGCTTGCATATTCTCTAAATTTGATTTAAAATCAGGTTATTGGCAAATACAGATATCTGAAAAAGATAGGTATAAGACTGCTTTTAATGTCCCCTTTGGACAATATGAATGGAACGTAATGCCATTTGGGCTAAAAAACGCTCATTCAGAATTTCAGAATATAATGAATGATATTTTCAATCCTTATATGAAATTTATGATTGTTTACATAGATAATGTCTTGATATTTTCAGAAAGCATTGAGCAACACTTTGAGCACATAAATGTATTTATAAATGCAATCA